TGGCCGCGAGGACAGACCGGGCGCCTCGCTCAACTTCCACTTCTCCTTTCGGCGGCGCCGAGCTCCAGGCGCCTCTTGCCAGGAGCCCCCCGCTTTCGAGGCGGGAAAAGGCGGCCTGGCAGGGGGTGGGAACTCGGGTCCCCCGAGCCCTGGGACGGGGAGGGGAGCGCTCGGCCACCGAGCCGAGGAGCAGCCGTGTGACTGAACCCGAATGACAAACCAGCGGACCTCAGGTACGTCGATGGCGCCGTTTCTCGGGACGCGGGGAGACCTCGAAAAGTTTGCCTGAGTAGGGAAATTAAGGGCGCCGAGGCCGGGGAGTAGGGTCGGTTGGTGGCGGGCGGGCGGGGGGGGCGGGGCGGGGTGCGAGAAGGGCGCGTCAGCCTCGGCTTGAAGCGAGTCGCCTTTGCCTCGCTCCGCCGGGTACCCTGTGGAGCCCGGGCTCCGGAGGTGACAAGTAGAAGGGATTGGCAGAAGCCGGGCGGGAAGGCGCCCTTCTCCAGCTTGGGCGGCTGAGGCTCCGTGGGGAAGGGCCCGTGGTGACTGCGGCGCTACCCCCCCCCCTCAAATCTCAGCGCCTGAGGGCAGGAGGGTGAGCAGACTGGAGCGACAAGGTTGAACCGGTGGCCCCTAGGGCTTTCACAGTCAGGCGCTTGAGACACGCACACACACACACACACACTCACTCGCGCGCGCGCGAACACGCACACGCGCACACACACACATGCTCGCACACTCGCACGTAAACCTATGACTTGGAGACCTGAACTGCCAAAATAGAGACCTCTTGGCAGGGGCTGGAGTTTCCGTGTGAGCCAGCCGCCAGGCTTCCCGCTCCCGCGTTCCCGCTCTCCAAGGTTCTCCCGCCTCTTGGCCTCCTCCCCTGATACTTCTGAGGGGACTCAGCCACCGCACAGCGCAAAGGTCCCCCAATGCCAGAGTCTGGCTCTGGCGGCTCGGAGACTGCTGAGCTGGCAATCACTTTATGAATTCCTCTCCTCTCCACGGTACCCCTAAACTTTGCTGCCTTTTTGTCGGGGTCGGGCCAGGGATTTAGACTTCCTGAGGAGTTACCTCCTGACCCCTCGGCACCTCGGCCCAGCGGGGTTCTCTTGGGTGCCCCCAACTACCACCGCACCCCAGCTGAGGAGCCCAGCGATTTGATAGCTCTTTGATTTCTTCTCCCTCATCCCTCTGCCTGAGATAGAGGCCTGTCTGGTCCTGCAGCTTCTTCTAGTTAATGTTTGACAGTTCATTGTAGCTAATCATTTTAATTAGCTCTTAAAGTGGGGAGTAACAGTTAACCTTGGACTTCTCGATTTTGGCCTGGTGGGGCCTCAAATGGGAGGAGTTCTAAGGAGGTAAGAACGGAAGTGAGGTCACCACCCCTGGCCTGAGCCACCACAGCTGGCTCCAACAGCTGGTGGGCACACCCATTAGGGACTCAACTCCTGTGAGCTGACCTTTGCTTGGCCTGAATGCCAGGATGGAGGGAGGTGAAGGGAACCTATCTAGCTCTCTCCTCTTTGGGGAGACAGAGTGCTTTGGTATAAAAAATACCCAGGAAATTTGTAGGTCAAGGAAGAATGTCAGTCAGTTGCAAGATTTCCCCAGTTTGAAAGTACTTCCTTGACCCAGTGCAGAAAAAAAAAAAAACCTAGGCTGGCATGAGCTGTCTCTAGGTGTGCAGAGGTTATCAGCAACAACCTGGAACTGCTGCTGTAAGGAGTTGCCTTGCATATGAGTGTCTCCGGTGCTGGGTTCAAAGCCAGTCATCTCTTGTGGGTTTTTTTGTGTTTTTTTTGTGTGTGTGTGTCTGTGTGTAGGGGGTTGTCTATGAAGCAGGCTCCACCATTGCCACCCTCACCCAGCCTCTCTCTGTGAGCCGAAGGAGTGGCTTGTTTGCAGCTATGCCTGGCATTCCTCCCTCCACTGTACTGTTTTGCTGGCTCCTCAAGAACTATGCCCACCCCTAGCCAATCTGGGGACCCCGTACCCAGCCTTCTTCACATAGTGCTAAGTGATGACACAACAGCTTCAGCCTCGTCTGCTATATTTTGGGGCCTAAAAATGAGGCCCCTGTAACCTGTTCTGAGTCTGATTTATAACATATTCAAAATAACCTCTAATGTTGCAACAATTTAGGGCTTTGGACCCAGAAAGGCGGCCCAGTCAACCACTGGCTGAGAGTATGGCTTCCCCAGGAAACCCTTTACTTCTGGGTTTTCCCATCTTTCTCATTCTGCCCCCAGTCACTAGAGCTAACCTGTCTGGGTTGAAACCCCAACTTTGTCCTTTTTCTGGTTATGTGCCCCAAGTCAGTTGAATGCCTTAATTTCTTTACGTGGCAAGAGAAACTTAGCTTATAAAGTTGGAGAGGAGCAAATACATTCATACATATAGGCTGCTTATTAGAACACTGTGTGGTACACAGCACACAGGAACTGGCATTATGATATTGGCTAATACAGTGCCTAAGATTCAACTCAACAAGCATTTGCTGGAACCTGGTCCTAGTACTGAGCTGGCCCCAGTTGAAGTATCAGCAGAGAAAATGTGGCTATGAGAAGGACATCACTTGCCTTCCAGGGTAGTCTGTAGGCTGAAATGGTGGTAGGATGTAGAAGTCAGAGAGAGTGGATACATTGTATAAATAATGTAGTTTAAAGCCAAACTAAAGGAATTGTCTCAACATTTAAGAGCACTGCTGTTTTTGGAAAGGACTGGGGTTTGATTCCTCCCACTATCATGGTGTCTCATGTCTGTGATTCCAGTTCCAGGGATTCTGACATCTTCTGACCTCCTTGAGCACAAGGTACACGTGTGATGCACAGATGTGCATACAGCCCAAACACTCACACAAAAAATAAATTTACAAAATAGAAATAAAGCCAAACTCAAATTCCTGGATGGGGAGGCTTCTCCTTTCATGGGGACCATGGATCGGTCTTTTCTGGATGTTATCTGTCCCTCAAGCCTGCCCGAAGGTTTCGGTGAAGGAGAAGGAAGGGAAAGTGGGCTCATGCAGGGGCTGCAAGTGGCAGGCATCTGGACTGTGATTTACTGGGTGTCAGGGCAGGATGGCATTACTTAGGGCCTCTCCCGAACACCCCCAAATCTCTGTGGAATAGAAGGGCTCACAGCTGGCACGCCTCCTTCACATCCCAGGGTCCCATGCTGAATTAAGAAGAGCCTTGGGCAACCCTTGCTCCTCTGTTCTGGGCCTGACCACAACCTGGCCTTGGTTATCACTCCTGGTCCTCTAAGCTGCAAAAAGGTCCCTGGCTTCACTGCCAATTTATTCCCTCTGTGGTTCGCAGACTGAAAACTAGTTCTGCAGGGGAGAAAAGAAACTCATGAAAGGTACCCAGAATCCCACGGGCTCTTTCCTAGGGGTCAGGGGCTTTTCTCATCAACACCAACCTGCCTGCAAATCTCTGGCTGCTGAGCCTCGTGTGTCCTGTAATAGCGGCTGTGCTGCTAATGCCCTGTAGCTCGGGCCCCAGCGCTGGTTGCCAAGAAACTGCTGGTCGGGGTGCTTATGAGGGTTCTGACCTCATAGGGGCTGCTGAGTTTCAATTCAGCAGCCATTTATTAACACCTACTGTGTGCCCAACCTGCGCTAGGAGCTGTGGGGGAGCTGAGGGAAGGAGGTGGTGGAGCAAAGCTGACTAAGATGACGCTGGAGCTGAAACAATCAGAGGCGAGGACAAGCAGCCAGGCCGGGGGCTGGTCAGGTGCTAATTGTACTTGTTGGAGCAGAGGCCAGCATGGCCAGTACTCTGAGGTCAGCAGCAGCTAGAGGAGGGAGGGAAGGCTTTGTGAGGGATTCGAGTGAGAGCTAGACCTTGAAAGGGGGCGGGGGCAGCGAGGGGGAGATGTGGCTGGGCAGAAAAGGGAGAAAAGACGCCTTTCTCTCTATTCCCTGGCCACGGACTGACCTTCGAAGCCTGGATGATTGTTTGGTAAATGCATGTCACATAAAAGAGCAGGTCAGTGAGTGTGGGTGGCTTCGTGCAGACCTCGATCTCCACTTCAGGACATACAAAATGGTTGGCCTAGACAGTGAGCCAGCCTGTATTGATAATACACAAAGGGTGGTCAGGCTTCCCTGCCACCCAAGCTGAGAGGATCTCATTATGAACTGCACCCTCCAACACAGGCAGGCTAGGCGAGAAGGGAGGGAGGGAAGCAGGGGAAGTGAGAGGTAGAAGCCATCAAACCTGACATGCTACAGTAGTTCACAGGAGAAATGGGCTGCCTAACTCCCACCTTTCCCCAGGTTTTGAGACTTCTCTGGAACCCTGGAGGTAGAGAGCAGAGATTTTCATCACTACCCCCTCCCCCAGTCAGCTGGGAATTGAAGTTAAGAGAGTTCCACATTTGTGCCTGGCCACCAAAAATTCACCATGTGTTTGTTTTACTTTTGTGTCTTCCGTGGCTGGATGGGAAGAGGGCTTTGGCTCTTGTTAGGTTTAGTTGGATGAAAACACCCGGACTACCTCCATTCCACATCAGTTTGTTCTCTCCTTGCTTCTTCTGGCTTTGCCTCTCCTCCATGAATTTAAACACCTAAAGGAACCTACTAGAATGCCCTGGCTTGAACTGGGAAATTGTGTCATATGGTGAATTTCTTGACAAAGAGACTCACCTGTTCCCAGAGGAAGGGGGAGGCTCAGGCAGCAGAGAAGGGTGTTTCGTGTAGCAGGGTTTTCAAGGAAAGTTCTGGAACATTTCTCAAAGAGGCTAACAAGAAATAAGAGTGCTGTGGCGCACACGTTTAATATCAGCACTTGAGAGGCAGAGGCAGCAGTCTCTGAGTTTGAGGCCAGCTTGGTCTACATATAGTGTTCCAGGATAGCCAGGGCTACGTAGTAGAGACACCCTGCCACAACAAAACAAAACATCAAGAGCTTAAGTAGGTGATTCAAGTTGAACAAGCTTTGCCTTAAGTTCCTACCTCAGGGTAGGGCATTCCTTGTCCACTGTGAATACTTCTTGCCTCTTAGTCTACCTTCCCTTCTGGAAGCTTCCTGCCTTCTAATCTGACACAATACCTTCCTCAAGAAGCATTTCTGTCTCCAGGAGGGGCGCACAATCTATATTCATTCACATCCTGCCGGGTTCTGGCTGTGTGACAATGGACTCATTGACTTATTCTCTCTGGGTCTCACTGTCCATGTCACAGGAAGAATGAGTATGTAAAACACTGAGCGTGTTACCTTGCACATTG